AGATTTAAATATAGAATTTGCTATATATACATATATAATAAATAATAATATAATGCAAATATAAATATTATTCCTTTACTTATTTACACTTTTAAAAATTTAAAACAGTATTTTTAAAAATATCATTTGAGGAAAAATTATATATTTATGGAAATATTGCAAAAACTTTCTATACAATTGAAAAATAAATTTGTCTTTCTACAAATAGTGTTGACAAAAATAATAATACCTAATAATTTGCTTGGAGTAAAATTTTTTAATATTATAAAAAATAAATTTTAAATTTTCATTAAAATGTTTGTATAGAAAGTTTTTCGATAACTGTTTATTCATAGAGATTATGAAATGACAGGTTGTTCATTGTATTAATAGTGCATAGCTAAAGTTTTTTTTTTCTTATTTCTTTTTTTTTTCCTTTTACAGATGTGCATATGCAAGCTCAAATTCCAGAGCAGATGCCTCGTTGCTATTAATGTATTATTTTCAATTTCTTCTCAGTATGCCAAGTCAGAATGGACATTTACAATTAATTAATATACTGTTGCTCTGCTCTTAAAGAATCTAATTGACTTTTAATGACAACTGGACAAAATTTTGTTAATATTTTCAAAAATTTTACAAATTTTGTCAAAATTTAATTTTTTATTTTCAAAAAAATGTCACAAATTTTGTCAAAATTTTATTTTTATTTTCAAAAATGTCAGAAATATTAACAAAATTTTATTTTTTATTTATCTTAAAAAAAATGTGTAAAATCTTTAGGAAAATATGGAAAAGCTCTATAAAAAAGAATTTCAAAAGCTCTGTAAGAAATATGCAAAATATCTGTAAGAAAATATGCAGAATTTTTTATAGTTTTTCTTCTGAATTTTTAAAAAAATTTTTTGTTCCTTGTAGCAAAAATAATTATTGTTTCGATATTGATTCTTTATCAGCGATTATTTCTTCTTTTGAGTTCTTGACAACATTTTTTTCTCCTTTTTAGTTATTGTCAAATTTTCTTTATTTATTTTTTCTTCTTTTCAGCTATCGACAAATTTTCTTTATTTATTTTTTCTTCTTTTGAGTTATTGACAATTTTTTTTTTATTTACTTTTTTCTTCTTTTGAGTTATTGACAATTCTTTTTTATTTATTCTTTTATTTATTCATAACAATACATTTTTGTTGATATTTTTCCTGATTGCAAAATTTTTTTATTTATTGCATCAATTTTAATTTTCATTATTTTTTCATTTATTCTAATTAATTAATTGTTTTAATTAATTTATTTATTTACTCTAATTAATTGTTTATTTTCATTATTCTTTCATTTATTCTAATATTTTATTCTGTATTTTCATTATTTTTGATATTTATTTACAACAAAAAGAGAAATGAATAAAGCCTTTATCACTAATTAATTAATTTTCTAATTTAATGCTAACGCATTAAATTACAAAATTAATTAATTAGAGATAAAAATGTAAAAAAAAATTGACGGGGAAAATCGTGGAGAATCCACTGATTTCTTTGCAGAGAGTATGTACTAACAGCGCATTGAACTTAGTTTGAGCCATTAACAGAAAATTATTTGAAAATCGTAGAATAGTAGAAAATGACGTGTCGCATCGGTTATGTTTGACAATCGGGGTCAACGGTTTCCTGTTCGTTTTTAAACGAAATGACGAGTGTATAGTGTCCATGTGACTCAATGAAAGTGTTGTACTAAAGAAACTTGTGAATTTCAAGATCAGGCAAAAATATTTCCCCAAAAAGGAAAAGAAAATCAAAAAATCTCGCCTTCGAAATAGAAAATTTTGAAGTCGAAATATTTAAATCTATAACTTTTTTTTCTTAATCACTTTGTTATTGTGAATAAAAAATTCGATCATTTTTTTCAAATCGAACAGTCAATTTGTTACAGAATCAAAAAAAAAAAAATAATAAATCGCAGTTTTCGAAAATTTGTGTTCGTTTTAAACAAAAAAATCTAAACTCTAAAATTTAATTTCAAAAGTTATTTAACTTTTGAAAGTTTCAGCTTCAGAAAAAAAAATTAAAAATGAAAATTCTTTTGTTTCAGGAAATCGAAAGGACTCAACGCTCGAGTGTAATCACTGAGGTGAGTAAAGGTTTTAATATTACTTCTTGGGTGAAGGAAAAAAAATTTTTTTTTCTTGTGACATTCTTTTTTGACGAATATATATATATATATATTTTCGCAATGAGTCGCGAGGAATCGTAAAGACGTAGGTGGACTCGCATCCGTTGCCAAACAACGGCATTCTTGTGACGGAGTGTAAATGCTTTTTATGCCATAGAGTACATACCGTACTGTATCAATAGAAATAAAAGGACCTTTATTGATCATGACGTTATATCACTAACAATTCATGTCGTCACGAGATCTCATCTTGATAGCGTATTTCGCTTTCAATATTTTTATATACAATTTTCTACTTTTTATTATTATTGCTCTATTGACATTTTCTTTTACACTTTCTTCAAAAAAAAAAAAAAAGGAATTTTTATTGAAATATCTTTTCAGTATTTTCTATTTAAACATTACTTTTAATATTTTTCATCTTGTGTCTTTGAATATTTTATTTTTTATATTTTTTTATATTTTATTTATTTAAAAAAATTTTTTTTAAAAATATTTTATTTTATTTTTATTTATTTATTTTTCTTTTTTCTTCTTTTAAGGAAAAATTGAAACAGCAACATTAAGAATTGAAGTAATTTAACTCACAAGCAAAAATTTTGCATTGATAACTTCTATTAATTAATTGATTTTTTATATTAATTGACGAATTAATTTCTATTAATTTTTTTACACACTGGAAAAAAAAATGTTCTTAAAAATAGATGATTTCGATATTAAAATAGAACCAAGTTATACGATTTAGTACAAAAATTGATACAAAATTAGTATACTTTTTTCTTTTTACAGTGTAAATTGTAAATTTATAATTAAAAATTGTGAGTTGTAGATGAAAGAAAAATTCATCTTTGTTTCACTGTTTCTCTCTCTTATTTCCTGACCTGCTTTATTGATTTTAATCTAAAGGTACGACGTACGACATTATGTCAATGCCTTATCTCGATATTACCAACTCCTCTCAGGGACATTAATAATTGCAGATCCATCGCGTATATCTCTCGCGTTAATAATGTTTTGATTGTAAGCCGTTAGCCTTGATTGTCGCATATAGGCAATTCTTGTGAAATGATTTCATAACAATAATGTGAGTTCAAAATCTGCTACAATAAAATAGAAATCAAGAAAGATTCTCTTTCTTCTTATGATTTTCTCTTCACTGTATAAAAATCACAATGTAAAAAAAATATAATTGTCAAAAAAATATAATGTCAAATTTTAATAATATTATTAGTGTTAATTTCAAACCAAATTTTTAGTATTATACTTCTACTAGTTTTATTTTAAATTTTTAATAGAAGAAAGCAAAGAATCACAGTGATTTTTCCAAGTAATTTTAGATGAAAAAAAGGAATTTTATTTTTTATAAAAAGAGGATTAAGTTTAAAAAAGTGAATTTTGAAATTAACTAAAAATTTATTCTATTGTAGCGCCTGAAATTTATTTTAGAGATTTTCTTACTTTTTCCCTTAACTGCAGCTTTTTTAATGAATTTTTTTCTTTTTTGCTAAACTTTTTCTGTTAATTATAGATATTTTTTTTTATCTTTTTCTGAAGTCTGTAACTTTCTTTAAATTTGTTTGAAGAGAGTGACTATTTTTTGATTTCTCGCGGGAAGAATTATTCATATTATATACATATATATATTTGGAGCATATATCCAAATAGCGTTCTCGTCAAAAATGATCAAAACCACTTTAAGACGATCTAGATGGTTCTACTTGAGGCTAAAATAATCCTCATTTGCTGGAGCGAGGCTTGTGTGCTTTAAATTCCACTAAAGAAACTTTCTGCAATACTGCAGGAAGAAAGTACTAGAGTCCATTGATTTTTTTAACTACTCAAAAGACATTATCAAACATGTAAATGTAAAAAAAAGTCCATTTTGCATTCCAAACCAAAAAAATAGTCAATTAAAAATTGATAAGTAATTTTTAATAAAAACTTAATTATTAATTACTTATTACCTAGTAATTAATAATTAACGAAGGATTGATAATTAAATAGTAATTAATAATTAACGAAGGATTAATAATTAAATAGTAATTAATAATTAACGAAGGATTAATAATTAAATAGTAATTAATAATTAAACAGTAATGAATAATTATGTTTCTAAAGTTTTGAACATTTAAATGAACGACGAGATTTTTTTCACTTTTTTTATTTGAATTATTTTCAATAAAAATCATTTTGTATATTAAAAAAATGTATTCCCAACTATAAGCAAATGTTTAGTTTTGAATACTTTTCTTTATTGGACAGCAATTTTTAAAAATATTTAAATAGAAGAAAAATTTCGTTCATTTGAACGATTAAAATTTTTGGAAAATTAATAATTAAGTAAAAATTAATAATATTAATTAATAATTAATAATTAGCTGAATTAATAATTCATGAGTAATAAATAATAGCCACGAATTAGTAATTAATTCGTTATTAATATTCTAGTTGAGAAAAACTAACTAATTAATAATTATTAGTTGTTAACAAGTTAATAACTAATTAATAATTACCTAAGAATTGAAAATTAATTGATAATTATCAGAAAACTAAGAATTAATAATAATTAATAACTAATTAATAATTACGAATTTGCTACTAGTTAAGAATTAATAATTAATTCGTAGTTAATAATAGAAAATTTAATTCGAATTAAATACGTAAATTTAAGTAACTTTAGGTAAAATTTTTTTATTATTATTTCTAAGCAATGAAATTTTGAATGTAGAATTAATTTTCTTTAAATAATAATTAATATTAGTGTTAATTTTCAAAAAAAATTGTTTCGATTCTAAATTAAAGAAATAATATTGAAATTCGTGTTTTATTTTCTAAATTAATGTTTATTTTGTTACCTTTCGTTGATGTTGGCTTTATACTAAAAATCCTTAAAATTCTTTGCTCGTTCATTTTCAAATCATAGAATTTTGATTTCATCGAGAAGAAATAATTGCTCCCAGTGACTCTGTGACTTATTTCTGTAAATAAAATATTTATAATTTTTATTAATCTTACAAAAAAAATATTTTCTTAAATCAATATTATTTTGATTCATTTTAAAAAAATTAAAAATTTTTTTTAGAAAATTAAAATCAATGGAAAGAAAGCATTTTTGAATTCGTACGTTTCTTTATTAATTGTTATTTTTCCTTTTTGTTAAATTGGCAATTTTTTGTTTTTTTGTTAAAATTTTGCCAAATAATTAATTTTCTTTGTTCATTTTGTTGTTCTTGATTTTGATTTACATTTTTAATTTTCACATTTTTCTATTAAATCCTATTTTACTTGTTCAAAAAATAATTAATTTTTCTAAATGGTTAACTTTGATAAATGTTTAATTTTGTCAAAATATTAATTTCGTATTTTGTTTAGTTTCTTGTTTGGTAATTTATATTTTACTTTGCACATTTTTTTTGACTAAATGCAATTTTACTTGTTCAATAAATGATTAATTTTGCCAAATGGCTAATTTTTTTAAAGGTTTAAGTTTAATTTTGTAAAAATTTTAATTTTGTTAAATGGTTAATTTTGGCAAATACTTTATTTGATTTTTTATTTTTATTAATTGTATTGCTTGTCGATTGACTGTTTTTAATTTGCAAATGATTAATTTTTATAAATATTTAATTTTGTAAAAATATTAATTTCGTTTCTTGTTAAGTTTGCTGTTTCGTAATTTATATTTTTTAATTTACAAAATTATTTTTCTAAATGTTATTTTACTTCTTCAATAAATGATTAATTTTGCCAAATGAATACTTTTTTTAAATGTTTAATTTTGTCAAATTTATAATTTCGTTAAATGGTTAATTTTGGCAAATAGTTAATTTTAATTTTATTAATTTTATTACTTGATGATTGACTTTTTTTAATTTGCAAATGATAAATTTTTCCAAATGGTGAATTTTTATAAATGTTTAATTTTGTAAAAATTTTAATTTTATTTTTTGTTAAGTTTGTTGTTTGGTAATTTATATTTTTTAATTTATAAGATTTTTTTACTAAATGTTATTTTACTTGTTCAATAAATAATTGATTTTGCCAAATGGAAATTTTTTTTTAAATAATCAATTTTGTCAAATTTATAATTTTGTTAAATGGTTATTCTAATAATATGTTATTCTAATGAATAATTTTTTCAAATGTTTAATTTTCCCAAATGTTTAATTTCGTTAAATAACGATTTATGTTTATCATAATTAAAATTTGTTACTTCATGTAAAAATTACATATTCTAATTAATCATTAAGCACAAGAAACGTGTTTTATTTACAACAGAGAAAATATGACAATAAATGCCGAGTCATATCAAAGCAGAAAAGGAAATTATATTTCCCCCTTTACATGTGTTAAATGTAAATAAATCAATGTTTACGATTTCAATCTATAGTTGTATCAGTTTAATTCTTTCTCTCAAGGAAGGAATATATCACAATTTTTCTTGATATTAAACTTTTGTCGGGAAATAGTACAAAAATATATTTTTGTCGTGTTTTTCAAATTTAATAAAAGTTTATAATATTGCGAAATTTTTCACTTGTTTTTTTTTTTTTTTGATTTTCTTCTCGAAAGAAAGAACATTGTTTCGAAATTTTTTGTGTGGTTTATAAAAAAAAAAGTGATCAAAAAAGGAAAATTTTTCGTTTTTTTGTTTATTTAATGTACGAATTAAGTGAAAGGTGAGGTGAAATGCTTAGACATAAAAGTGATTCTAGTTTTACATATGTATGAAGCTGGATCTTACGTTCGAGATTCTGCTACTTCTCTTTAGTGCTTTCAAAAATGGGGGCAGCAATTTTCTTAAGGCCCTCGTATGGTCCGGTAATTGTCACACTTTAATTTTTTTATGGCATTTTTAATTTGAGAAAACAAAAATTTTTTTTAAACTTGTTTGCATTTGACAATCAATTATTTAGTTGAATTATCATTCTTCTTTGTAAAAGAGGTGAATTTTGATTTTTCTTGACACTATTTCGCTGACAAATTTTCAAATTAGAATTTTTTCAATTAATTGTTTTGAAATATTTTTGAATATTCGGTAAAAATTTAATTTAATCAAAAATTGTTTTCCGTCCTTTTATTGTTCACTTACTGTTTTCTAAAATATATTTTATGTAAATTGACATTTATAACCAATGAAAAAAAAAAAATTTTCTAAATATGACGGATAATAAATGAATGCTGATGATTGACTGTGCACTGGAATAATATTGACTCAACTTCACTGCCATGAATTTTACACTCGGTGAGCGTAATTGCCATAAATTATTTTAAACTTTTGAAAATTATTCCATAAATTAAATTTAATTTGGTTTTTTTTTTTAATTAATTTTCGTTAATTATTTTTCAAAAATTATTTTTTACTTTCGTAATACAAATTTTAATTTCCCAACATCAGATTCGAATTTTAATTTTAATTCTTTTTTTTTCGAATTCGAAATTCTCGCAATTCGAAAATTGTAAAATATTTCTTTTCGGTTTTGCGAGAGATCGTCCGATCAATTTCTGACGATGGAGGTGAGCTTTTTTTGTTTCGCCAGTATACGCATTGCATATTGCGAATGAAACGAAAATTCTGGGTGGTCCATCGTGGCCGAAAATGTTAAGCAGAGCAGAGTAAAGAGAGAAATGTGAAAGAGATAGAGAGATGGTGGAAAAAAAGAGAGAAAGAGTAAGAGAGAAAGAGAGCGTGATCCGCGTGCCTTTCGTATACTGCGGAATGTGACCGATGTCTCTATCCGCTTCTTTTGTCCCCAACCTCTTAAATCGCGGACCACACGAATCGATAATTACTCGAACGAGAAATTTACTCCCGCCTTTTCCACTTTGACCGGTTTTCAAACGTTGTTTTTATACCAAACAAAATTTTGTCCCCGCGAGAATGCTTCACGAAATTTTGCACGCGTTTTATACATATATATGTATATAGAGAGAGAATGCATCGACTGGTTTTCAAATGACACGTGTGTATCTTTCGTTTAATACGTGTGACATCCTCTGAGTGCAACGAACCTCCAGGAAAAGCTCTACTCAAAAGCAAAAAGAATTTTTTTTTTTTTATTTAATATTTAATAATTTTTTTTTTTTAAATAAAATTAGCAATTTTAAAAATAAGAGAATTTAAAAATTTTCTAATTTAAATTTTTTTTGAAAAGACTAAAAATTGAATTTTAGAGAAATTACAAATAATTCCAGAAATTCAATTATTTTCAAAAAAAAAAAATTCTTATAAAATTCAATTATTTTCAACAAAAATAAAATTCTTCTTATAAAATTCAACTATGTTCAAAATTTGAAAAATATTCTCATAAAAATCCCAATTATCTTTATAAATAACAAAATTCTTCTCCAAAATTCAATTATTTTCATAAATGTCAAAAAAATTCTTGTCCTAATTTCAATTATTTTCAAAAATAAAATGCATTTTTCTTATTTCAATTATTTTCAATATCTATTTTAATAAAATTTTCCAAAAAGAATTCAATTATTTAAAAAAAATTTCTAATAAAATTGTATGTAAACAGTTCATTTTTTTTATAAATAATAAAAATTTCACAGGAATTCAATTATTTTCATAAAAAATAATTTAAAATTCTAGAAAATAATAATTGAATTAAAATGATGAAAACAATTTTGATGAAGTTACAGTAACAATATTCTTATAATATAAAGTAATGATTTTATCTCGATATCGATATCTTCATGTTTTACAATATTTTTAACGTTATTTAATTTAAAAAGGGTTTGAATTTAAAATTTTTGAATATCTTAATTCCTGTGGAAAATCCTGTTTAAAAAATTGTGATTCATAAACAAAAGTTGTTTGACAATTTTCTAATTTTGTTAAGAAGTAAAGAACAAAAGTAATTTCAATTTGACAAAACATAATATTTAACAAAATTTTATAGTCTTTTAATGAAAAGAAGTGAAAAAAATTCTGATGATTTCTATTTGTCATTACAATTTTGAATTAATTATAAAATAAGTTCTGAATTAATTTTATTAGTTCTTAATTCTTAATTTTTGAGTTTTACAAAAATAAAGGAAAAAAATGTTTATAAATTCTTTGTGTCAATATTACAAATATCTTAATTGAAAATGAAATTGAAAATTTTTGAATTTTTAGAAAATAAAAGCAAAAATTTTACTAAAGAAAATGTTCTGTTACATTTGTTTCCGAATTTCTTTAATTGCAAAATTACTCAAAAACATCGATAAATTATTTTTTAAATGAAATATTTAATTATTATTGTATTTCCATAGGAATTAAGATTTTCAAAAATTTCAAATTCAAACCTTTTTCAAAATTATTTTCACATTCAATTATTAGCTAAAGTTTTACATAAAATTCAATTATTAACTAAAGTTTTAAAAAATTTATTTTTAAATAAATTTTTCTTAGAAAATTCTTTGAGAATACAATTATTTAAATACCAATTCAAATTATATAAATGAATGTTTCTTAAAATTTAATTCTTATAAATAATTTCATTAATAATTTCATTATTAAATTATTAAAATAATTGAATTATTTTGACAAATTTTAAGAAAATTTTTGAAAATAGTTACATTTTTCAAGGAATTCGATAAAAATAGGGGAATGTAGTCAAGGTTGGCCTACTGTCTAGGTAGGCCACTCGCGTTTTTTTGTCAAGTTCACTAGCGCCACCTACGCGCATTTTTGTCGAAGCTTGTCTTAGTGAAACCTAACTTTTTGTTCAATTACATTTTCGGAAAATCGAAAATTGTGTTTTCTGTGACGTCGGTACAAAAAAAGCTCAAAAAAAGTTTTGTGCATAATGTGAAAAACCATTAATAAAAGATAAAAAACAAATTGAATCGTCAAGGCAAGTATGCAGAAAATTTGTGGGACTCATGGTTGAAAGGAAAACAAAGTAAAAAATCGAATCCCGAAACGTATTTCTTTTTGTTTACAACAATTCGGTAATGTTACTTACTGTCAAGGTCGGCCACTATG